CCTCCAGGATTTGAATCCAATTTATCTCATCTTCTTCATTCATTTCCCCATCCAGTCAGTCAATAAATATTCATTGAGGATGTCTATGAACCATGCCCTGCACTAAGGTCTAGTGAGCAAAACAGAACTTTTATTTGATGGGCATTTCTCTCCCACACTGTGCCACATTCTACACAAACTGTGTAATTCTCCTTTTGTGGTCTACATAGTCTTACTTTTCAATGTGGTTCAAGTTTTTTTTTGCATAGAATTTCACTTATTTGCTTCCTTCTCTTCTGAAAACAAATTTGTTTTCAAAATATCAATAATGATCAGAAATGAGAAATTAGCAAGGAAAATTCATCAAAATCTGTCCTGGAGCCCCTAGCCTCAATCCAAAGGTATTATATTGATTTCAGAAATCTCAGACTCTTAAAGCCTGTGGACAGCACATCTCCCTCACTGCCCTGAATCTCTGCTGTGGGGACTCATTCCACCCCTGGAACATTTTTCTTTTGAACTCCACAAACCCTGATGAGTAGAAAGGTTGTAGCCTGACTGGGAATTACTTCTGGCTCTACCACTGGCCTTTAGCACAGCCAAGGAAAACTACTCCTTCCATCTATCAAAGCCACAGTTTCATCATTGTCAAAATCTGATTAAGTCTTCTAAGCTCTACAGTAGAGTATCCATGATGAAAGGAGCTGATTTGTGGAAGCACACACAAGGCACCAATGATTGTGAGCTACAATTTTAATGCCTATCACTCAATACCAGCTATGGAGGGGCTTCCTCCACACTCTGTAGACCTTTTCTGGTTCTAGTAACTATCTCCCTATGTCCATAGCTCCTAGTCCATCTTCTTTCCCAGACTGATGAGCTAGTATTTTAATCAAATATTTACAGATATTTGCAATCCAACTTGGTAGGGCAGAGTGAATAGCTATCATATCTTTTCTTACTTTATTTTTTGTATCTTTTCTACATTTATTTATAACACCCAGCAAAGGGACTGGCTTTGGGGAGGCTCAAAAATGTTCCATGTACCAAATACAATCATACAATTAGTTGCTTTCCAAAGATGCACACTCAGCTGTCCTTTTCATCAAACTAAATAAGTCATCCTAACGTAACCCCATAACCATCACTCTGTCATTCCCATTGTCCCTATGGGCTTCACTTCCCTGCTAGATTGTAAACTGCCTGGGAGAAGCAGCTCCATGTCAAAGAATATCCCAGCAATGGTTTGCAAGAACATAGAAAAAGCTCATCTTACTCTGAAAACAGGAGTCAGAAGAATGGGCTAGTTGCACTGATGACCCCACTTTATGCCCTCACAAACTGCTGTGGGCACAGTAGAAAGCTCTGTTTGCTTGCTCTCTGTGTGGCAAAACTTTGAGATCTGGCTCGTAAAGAGGAAAGAGGGGAAGCAGAGGGTCCAGGAAGTCATGGGGGAGAATGTCTGTGCTGAGCTCCTTTTTCATCATGGGTCTGTATGCATGCCATGACACATCAGGAAAGCCTTTTCCAGGGGCAGGCTTTTACTTTTCCTGCCCTTAAAACATGTTGAAAGATCACACATACGTTTTCAATGAAGTCACTGACAATCACAGGAAAACAGACACAGCGACAGCTGGTGGGTCCTGTCACCCCGAGGCGATTTAATCTCTTGGCCTCACACTGGGAAAATCGTTGAAGGAAGGTAAAGATTCTGGTGTTTTCAATTTTTTTTTTTTTTAAGAAAGGAAAAAATGTGAAGGGAAAAAAAAAGCATCAGAACAAGGAGAAATTATATGGCTGAAGGCAGCTGCTACTGTTACTAACAGCTCAGAAGGATAAGGGAGGGCCTTGACCCATGTGGATGAATGAAAGGGTGGTTATGAGCAGCGGGTGGCCAGGGAGGTGCTCCTGGGAGAATATGATTTCCTTTGTAGAATGAGATGCCAGACACTTCCCGACTTCCAGCAAATCAGTCTAGGAGTCTGGCACTAAGGCCCTTTGTGAACCGGAATACCAGGACTCATAAACAATGTCAGCTATACTACTGAGAGATGAGTAACAAGAGAAGGACAATTAACAGGCCAGGGAACCCTGAAAACAGTCATTAAAGTCTTCACGGATGTGGGCAGCAGTGTTGCACAGCTGTTGAGCACGTCAATTAGGGGTTTAGTGGTGGGGGCAGGGGTAATGGCATATCTGGGAGACCAGCAGCTCTCACCCTGCCTGCTTGCATGGTGGGCTGCTGGGTCCCACTCTGGGCTTGTTTCCTGAGGCAGAACAAAGAGGAAACTGGATGTGGAGGTCCCAGATGCTCACGGATTTCCTACTGTGATTAGATACCTACATGTTTAGCCAAGAATCTGTGATCTGTGTTTTCTACACCAGCCATTGAAAGAGCCATCTTGGACTAGGGAGATGGTACAATTGCCACAGTGCTTGCTACTCAGGCATGAAAACCTGAGATCAGTCCCCAGACCCAACATGACAGAAAAGGAGAACTGACTCCAGAATATTATCCTTTGTGCACACATACACACATATACATACACAAATATGTCAATGCAGTTTGCAGAAATGTTAAGGCCCAAACAGGGTCGATGGCTCTTGAAGAAAGAAAATGGAAATTGTCTTCTGGTCTCCATGCATACCCGTGTGAACACACGCAGCACCCCTTACACACAAGACACAAATCAAATATATCCACCCCTACATATCCCTGCACAGAGCTATCCAACGAACAGAAAAGTTAGCTTGCCTTACACTGCAGTGTTTGCTTACTGAAAGAATTAAGTTAGCTCACTAGTAGAGCAATGATCTCCACTCCTACAGGTAAGAGGAATTTTCCGGTCTCAAAATACTGTCCCCTCCCCTCACAGAAAAGATCAATAGTAACAAGGAAGACAGAGTCACAAAACAGAGAGCTATAATACACTGCAGTATCTGTTATGATGGCCTCTCGGACCCACTAAAAACAATGAGGTTGAGTTAAACATGGTGAGGAGCAGGGAGGAGGAAGGAGGGGGGGGGTGGTGAGTGAGCAGGAGAACAAAGGCCAAGACAGAGAGCAGCAATAGGGAAAGCCACTTTCACCATGGTGTTTCATTTACTGGTTTTGATTTGAATCCATGAAGTCCTTTGCTGTCCCTGGAGAGCTGGTCCTGTGCTGAATTTTTCCTAACTCACTTCTACATCCCCCCCGGCCCCTGCCCGGTATCTTCCATTACTATTTAACTCGCTCTTCGTCTACACTTTGTGCTTCTTTATTCTATTTCATTCCAGGACTGTGGGATGCCTTCCACAGGTCTTCAGTGTCTCAACCCACCCATCATTCCTATCATCTCTTCCTCTGGTTTCTTTTGTCTCATGGACCAGAAGCTTTTGCTCTCATCCATGGCTTACTCAATGATGAGGAAGAGAAGATATCTGCTTGTCTGGGAGGGAGGTAGTGTGAAGAAGTTCATATTTCTCTGTAAATGTTTCCATCACAGCAGCATTGGCAGAATGCAGACAAAACTAGTACTTTGTTTTGTTTTGTTTCTCTTGTGGTTGCCTCATTGCTCGCTTGCATACTTTCTACTTGAAAACTACAGTGAGGGACCTATATCTGGGTTGATAGGACCATGGGCTAGGGTAGGGAATGCTGTGGAGGATTTTAGTGACTTTTTACCTAACATGATCTTTTCTTTGCAGAAATTCAACCCACCCATACCACCTCATTCTCCATGAGATAGTTGACTGTATAGTCCTATCTCTTATGGCAAAGTGTTAAGACATTGATCTAGACCTTATTACTTACATGGCCCCATTTCCTTGGTCCCATTGATTAGTTTAGGCAGGAAAACATGACAGTCAGAGAAGTCAAAGCCATCGTGGGATGCATTCCTGAAGCCAAGCTAAGCCAAAGAGACAGTGACTTCTGAAAGGCTCACAGCATGTAAAGAAATGTAGGTGGTAACCTTAGCTACATCAGGCATTAGAACATTTTATGACTTCCCAGTGAAATGTCTCCATGAACTCTGCCTATTACTGATGACATTGGGTTCCACTGAATGCATAACATTTAGAACCTAGTGTACTTCTGAAAGACTACTTGGTTAAACATACAACAACCCATACACTGGGAATGAGATTTCTTCTTTTTTTATTTAACTTTTTTTTTTCATTTTAAGTACCAACCACAGTTCTCCCCCATCCCTCCTCCTGCTTCCCACCCCACCTTCCCCTCCTCCCAGTTCACCCCCCATCCATTCCCCCTAAAGGGTATGGCCTCCCTTAGGGAGTCAACAAAGCCTGGTACATTCCAAAATGTGTGTTTGTGTGTGTGTGTGTGTGTGTGTGTGTGTGTGTGTGTGTGTCTTTGATTAATGCAAAACAAGGCCATGAATTTGAAAGAGGGTTATATGTGAGGGTTGGGAGGGAGAAAAGAGAAAAGAAATGATGTAATTATATTATAATCTCAAAATAATAAAAATCCAGGAGAATGTCAAACATCTTAACCATAAACTGAGAGAACTGATGGCAGAAACAGAAAAATTGACAATTGTCACTTGGTACTTTCACATTCTATCCAAAACAATCAACAGGATTACTAGACAGAAGACCAGCAAGCATGCAGAGAGAAATAATCCCACATTAGAAAAGAGTGTCTGAAACCAGCCCATCCCTAACCTCATACCCAATGGTTAAAAAAAAAAAATGCTCCCAAGGCAAAAAACAAAGAAGAAATCCACATCTGTTTTCTTACTCAGTGCAGTGCCAACTATAGTGAAATTAAGGGAAAACACACACACACACAAAAAAAAAAAAAAAAAAACATGCAATTTGACAAGGGAGTTGTGTGTGTGTGTGTGTGTGTGTGTGTGTGTGTGTGTAAGGGGGGATATCATGCAAGTACCTAAGTGTATGCCATGATTTCTACATTTAAAAATGCCATGAAATTTGAAAAAAAAAAAAGCAGGGAGAATCTAGTAGAACTATATAGTATAATATCAAGACAGGAAACAAAAACGTATATGCTGGTAACAAATAGATAAAAAAAAACTAAAGGAACAATACTGTAGACAATTACTTCAAGTAAAATTAAATAGCAAGGTCTCCATCTCTAGAAGGGGTATATGATCTCCATCCTCAGTACCACAAAGTCCTACTTGCAGCTGCTACCATTCCTTTGGGTAAATTCAATTCAGTCTGGAATTCTTCTGTTTTGCCCCTAGAAGTCCTAAACTCTGGACTGACTTTGGGCTGGTGTGTCCACAGCATGAGGTGTCACAGGTTGCAGACCGGGACAAAAGCAGCTGGACCTTGGCTGACATTTATACCAGGCCACTCACACTTGAGGGTGTCCCCTCTAAGGTACCATCAAAGCCACCACTTAGCAGGAAGCACCAGCAGTCCCTAGTACCTAGGAGGATGAGAAGCAGGCAGAGTTCTTGGTTAATAAAATATTTGTGAAATTAGTGGGTGTTTGGTTAATTGGAAATAAATACGGGGTAAACAATACAGGAGAAAATACAGGGGTTAAATGCTCTATTTTGAATGCTATGTGTACTGGACCATGCTGAATATTCATTCTAGATGTGTTAATTGGATACTTATCATCTCCATAAGATGAGGGAACAAAAGCATTAATATATTAAATAATTGGTCCAAAGCAACAAGCCAAGGGAATCTGGACTTGAAATACTATCGGTCTAACTTGAAAGTTTACAGTTGCTCAGTAACACTGCCCCCCCAGAATTTTGAGACCCACACAATATTCTGGCATGATCATGATTACCAAAGCAGAAAATAGCATGCAAGTCAACAATTAAATGCCAGGAATCTTCAGTAATGGAGAAGCCAAACAATCCACTTACAACAAAATGAAAGGCATTCAAGCCCCATTTTCCAGCACAAACCTTTCTTAATATTGCTGAATAAGTAAAATACTTTGGAAAGACTGATAATATATATATTAAGGCAAAATTTACTAAGAGCACAAAGGTCACCCAATATTATAAGAGAGAAAATTGTGTTTTCTTGCTTCATTCAGGTAAAATGTACATCAATGTATAGTATATAAATGCTACAGGGAAAGGTGATGACAGCCTACCTTAAGGAAAAGTTGGCAGGTTTTATTTTTCCAAACTGTTTTTCCACAATACTGCTCCTCTAATGTTGCTATTCCTGAAATAAAGTAAATACTCTTTGACAGAAACATTGAAAACTATGGAAATATAGAAGGGAAGAGACACATGTCTCTTACTACCCTGAACTGAGATAATTGTCAACATTTAGGTGTTTCATGAAAGTTTTTGCAGCAGTCAAAATGGCCCATTGAGGAACACTTAGTATCATATGAAGTCTCCATTACTAGAGACATGTAAATAAAACCTGAGTATTGGACATGGATGGCTACAGATGTTGTAATTGTAACATTGGGCTATGAGGCATGCAGGAGTCCTAACTACCAGAATCTATATGACTCAGTACATGAGCACAATTTTATCTGACTCATTTGCTAATGATTGTTCAGAAATAAGTGCAGGTTCTGATACATGGAAGTGAACTGATAGACGTATATTGAAAAGAAAGGAAAAAGAAAGGGAGATCTGGGAGATTGTTCAGTAAGTAAAGTGTAAATTTACTGTAAGAATTTGAAGACCTGAGTTCAGATCCCCAGTGTGCACATTAAAAAAATCTAGGTACAAAGTCCTTAATATAGCGTGGAGAGAAGAGTGGCAGGCAGATCCCTGGAACTCACTGGCTGGCCTGTCTAGCCAAACTGTCAAACTTCAGACTCAATGAATGATTCTGTCTGGAACAAAAATAATAATAATAATAATAATAGAGAGAGAGCTGTAGAGGAAGGCATGCAATGTCAGCCTCTGCACCCCTACATGAACATGCATGGGCGAGCACACCTCCATGCCCATGTATGTTCATACACACACATGCCTTCCCCACACAAAAGAATAAAGGAAGAATGGGGAAGAGGGAGGGAGGAAGGGAGGGAGGGAGGGAGGGAGGGAAGGAGAGACAAATGATTAAGTGGCTGTTGCAGAGTCAACTCCTGCTCGTGCCTCAGTCCTCAGACATTCTCCAACTTTGCATTAATTCTAGAACCTTCATTGGGTGTGACAGTCAGGTGGGGATGGTGGGGGTGGCAGGCGTCATGGCTAAGTAGAAGGGGGATCATCAATTTATCATAGCAAAGAGACAGATGTGTTTGGAAGCTGGTTAACGTTTGGAGAACCTGAGCTGTGTGATATGAGGGGTTGGAAGGGGCTGGGAAGTTCGACAGGCCTCAGGGAACCAGAAAAGGCTTCAAGAATCATTTCTTCTCTGTGCTGGGTGAGGGAACAAGAGACCCAGAGGTGGTTTCCTAGGTTACATGTTCGTCCAGGTTCATTATCCCAACATGTGACCCCTTGAGTAGCAGCAGCGGAACTATGTGATATGGCACACAGTCCTTGCACTGTCATTTCGTTATACCAGCTGGGACTTGTTTTGAGCCAGGCAGAGATAGGAAGCTCTCAAACAGGAAGGTGGGATAAGGTTACAATGACAACTCGGCAATTTTACCTCTGACTTTAGAGCAAAGGAATGCTCACTGCAAACCTGCGCCGTCGCCACCACCCTATAAAGAACACAAATACATGTGTGAACCACAGTCTTTGCTGTCTGTTTTGAGACAAGCCCATTTGGACATGGAGGGAAACCTTTCTCTTCCTTTGGATATCAGGATACCCTTTTCAAGACCCCAAGATCACTGTCCCCTGCTCTTCAGGAATCTGAAAACTTCCCTCATCGTATTAAATATTCAGAGGTCAGCAGGCCCGGGCATTTTAAACTTCTGCAATGCTTCTCAAATGTAAGGGTTAGTGGAAGCTTGGATGCTCACAACCCCATGGGGGAGCCTCACCAATGCTTTCAAACATGGTGCTCTAGGGTCCCGAATCTTCTGGACTCAGTCTCTGCAAACCTCTCGCCATATTGATATTAGTGTGGCCATCTTAGAACCATCCACCCAGATAATTCCACTGCTTGGGACCTTCCTGACCCCAGCCAGAGCTCAGTGTGGTCTGTGGACTGGTACCAGTCTACATAAGACCTTCATGACAAAGTTAGTGGAGAAGTTTGGAAGCATCTAGACTTTTGTCAGGGTCAAGTTATTCCAGTACATAGGAAGCTGACTGGAATCATTAAGCAGGATCTGTACAAGGCACTTCTGAACTCCATCAGTGAATTAATTTCATGTGATATGAACTCCATACTCCCCACAGGCTATGATAGCTCAGACAAAAGCAAACTGGCCCTTCCCCACAGAGTTTGAGAAGAATGGATCTGCAGAACATTGTCTGAGGATTTCACTGTAAATCCTTCATTATCTGACATAACATCTATGGTGCTTCCGACACCTCTGGGAATGTGGAAGCCTTCATTCTGCTGAGGGAGCTACTTGACAGCTTTCCATGCACTGAATCTACATCACTTCTTCCTTCAGAAATGGCTTCCTTGCCTTGTGTAACTACAGGCTTTCGTCTTTGCACCTTTACTACAACAGTACCTGGGAAGCCATGTCTGGTGTCATCTGTAAACCTCCAACAAAGATCACCCCTCCTTACATCCTTCCTTGTGGCCAGTACCTTTGCTCAAATGCTATGTGATGTTGCCAAGTTCTAGATGAATAGAATAAGCAATGTCTTTCATAGCAAGTAATTTTTGGCCCCCTGACATATCTCTTGAGAATTTTCCATGTATCTTCTCCTTGAAGACAATGTCTTAAATATCTTAACTATCTTTCTTCTATATCTTTGCATCTCAACATCTTCATGCTGTCAGCAGAGGGGAGACTCTGGGAGGCTATCAATTTCACGGTCATTTAGGTGTGGTGCTTTTGCTGGCTACTTATAGACTGTTCCACAGTCAAGTGATTTAAATAGAAACAGCAATTTCCAATTTGGACTGTGACCTACTGACTTTGTGAAGTGTTTTACAAAATTTAGGCCAGAAGAAAAAGGACACAAATTAGGGTTGGCAAAGAACATCTGACAATCATTTACACATAAAAGGAGACCTGGTACATCTCTTGTTGAGCATAGCAAATAAGCTGGAATTAGGCTGGTATTGTGAATAATTGGACCAAATTGCCCCCGCCTCCCTCCCATTAGGCTGCCTGAATGAGGTAGTACTCTTCTATCTGTCTCACCTTACATATCAGATTTCACCAATGCAAAATGTAGGTAGAAATATGTATTGCTCTTTGGTTGCTCAGATGAGAAAATCTCATAAAAGCCTAAGATGCAGTGCAGTAGGAAACTACTTACACATTTAGTCTATCAACTCTTCATCTGCCATGAGCTTCTTTCAAACCCAATTCTGCTGCTGGTCACATTTGATATTCCTAAATGACAGACTTCATTATTGTTGAAAGATAGAGAAACATCATTAGACAATGGTCATTTTTCACTCTATTGTTTTTTTCTGGGAAGAGATTATAATCTTGCTCATAATCTAAGAGCAAGATTATGTCTTGCTCATAGACATAATCTTCCTCTTGAACCTTAGGTAACTTCCCAGTACTGGACCCTCTAGTCTAGAACACCAATCCCAACCCCCACTCCTGACCACATCTGACTCCTTGCAGGATTCAGTGAAAGGCGGCTCCTGGGATGATGCTCCCTCTGTGTGGACTCCTAACTGGAGCACAAGCCTCTCTTTCTGGCTCCCTTAAAAACCACGCTGTCAAATAGAAATGATGGCAAAGCAAATATCACTTCATTTTGACCTTGTGCATAGAGCAAATAGAATACAGTGGTTTGGATGCCCCCATCCTTCGTTAGGTTTGGTGCAAGAAAAAGAAGAAGAAAAAAAATTCAACCTAACAGTGAAAGGGTTGGCATTTTACATCCCTTGAACAATGAAAGAATTCTCAGAAGTACTCAGTGGCATCACAAGGTAGTCAAAAGTGCGTCCCGAATAATTGCTATCCAGCACTGTAATGGGGCTCATTGTGATGTCACAGCTAGGAGAAAGACATGAGCAAAGGAGCAGAGGGCATTTCTGGAGCATAACGCATAGATCTACGCATCAGCCCCCTTTCTAAAGTCCCTCTCTCCGATACCCCTTCCCCCAAATAAAAGCTAACAAGGAATCTGGGATGTGAATCCTGATGAGCAGTTCCTTAGTCGGAGCCCAGAGGAGAATAGAATTCTGCTTAGTCTCCAGTGAGTCCCTCTGAGGATTCTGTCTCCCGGCAGGTCCTGCATCTGTTCCCATCTTTCAGGTCCCTTTCAGCTAATTGACAGGCCAGCCCCTCCCCGCTCCCTGGTGCCATACTCATGGCCTGCTACACATATTAGTGTTTTCAAAGCAATGTTCCCAGCAGGAGTTCCCAGAGGGGTCTGCACACCCAGGAGGAAGGAGATAAGCCTGAAAATTCAGTTTTAATTGCATTTGGATTTAGGAAGTCTGTTTTGATTCACAAGTAACACCGTAACTGCATATCTCTTACAATTTAATTGAAAAGAGGGTATTTTCTCCCTTCATAAGAAAGTGGGAGAGGGAGTCAGATAACTCTAAGACAGCCCCCTCACCCCCGTCCATCTGCATAATTTAATTCTTTCAGGCTGAGTAATTTGAAAGCCAAGACTGTTCGAACCACAAGAAATGCTTTTCAAAGGTCTCTGGCGCCCTCCACTGGTCATCAGCGCTGAGACCGGTACTATAGAACAAGATTCATGGTCCTTCAAAGTTGGACCCTTTCAGTTTCCTTAAAGAGGGTGTTGTTTTGAAAGAATCTTTCCTAGTACAGTCAGTTAGTTAGCTAGTTGATACAAAGAGAACTGTGGTCCAAAATATTTTCTTTTCTATGTGAGGAACCACCGTTTTGAATACTACGGTGGTTGTTTTGTTTTATTTTGTTTTGTTTTAATCTTATTAGCTAAGTCCTTGAATGAGTCATTGACCCCATCCCCTGCCCTCAAAACAAACAAACAAACAGGACAAACCAACTAACAAAGAAGTAATATCAAGTGACTTGCAATGATTCAAATGGCCCAGCTCTTCAAGAGATACGGTCCCTAGCATTGGCATCATCATCATCCTACTCATCATCGCAATGGCTTGGGCAATGGAAGGGTTCTCAGTGGTGGAGCCACTTTTAATCCGTGCACCATTAATTCAGTTAATGAGAAGATGAGTACAAGGTGACAGTTGTTTTATTAAAGCTATCTACTGTTCTCGTACACATCTGGCCTGTTTCTGTATTAATCGCAAATTATATTCCATATAATTTCAGATCTAATTAAAGTATAGATGTGTTGTTAATTACCAATACTCCTTGTAATTTATTAAGACATCACCACCCTCCTTTGACTGACTAGGGTTTATGCATTTCTTGCCTGATGCTACATCTCCACACTCTGGATCACACAAGAACAGTCACCTTCCTGTTTCAAACCTACCATGCTAATGACAGGGGATTCCTAGAATTTCTTTTAGTGGTTATGCATTTTAATTATTAATTTGTATTACTTTGTACTAAAAAATGGGTGGGTTTAGAAAATTAGAAAGTCTCAGAATTCATGATTGTGAGCTTCCTGCCTGTGAAAGCCATTGAAAATGCTGACCATGGTGAAAAGCATAGTGTACACCTACCTGGCTTTTGACAGGGCAACCCAATGGCTGGGTTGGTATTGCATGGAAACCCCCTTCCTCATTGTATAGAAACACTCTTCAGACATTATTGCACAGACATTTATTAGATAGCTGCTCCATGTGTTCATTGCTCTTAATAAAGGAACCACAGGGACCAAGAGAGACTATTTCCTGTCCTGATCCCACACAGTTCATATCCATCAGAAAAGATGGTTATTGATTCTTATCACTTTAATATTTCGTCTTGTCTACCACAAGCCATCCTGTGGTAGTAAGGGCCACACCTAGAGTCCATATGTTTGTGCTTGCCTGGGGATTATGATGAGAGGATTCTGAAAGTGAGCACGCATTTTTAACCACTGTAAATGCAGGCACAGTAGGGTTGCCAGCTATAGACAATATTAGAATATGAGATGTTAATACTCCATGCCTTATAACCTAGTTCATAATTCTTTGACTCCACCCGTAGACCCTAAACATGGAGCGAGTCAAAAAGTCAGCATTTCTGTGACTCAGCCAATACAGTTGCTGGTGCACTAAGTTTGGAATAAAATCCCAAATTCTAGTGTCCATAGCCCACAAGTAGCATTGAAAACAAGTGTTTCATCTTGCCATTGATTATTCTATCATGGCAGCTTTTTAACAATTATTCATGGAGAATCATGGATGTTTGTTGGATAGTTTTGCTTTGCCAGGCAGTGTGAACAGTGCTTTCCCTTACTAGTTCTGAGCAAAGAAGGAATAGTTTTTAATCACCATAATATATAAGACAAATACAACTTTATTTAGGCTCATAGTTTATCAGGTTTTATTCCATGGTCAGCTGGCTCCATTGATTTTTAGGGCACTGGCATACATGAAGCATGATGATGGAAATGCAGGGCAGGGAAGTGGTACTCACCTCATAGCAGGAAGCAGAGCAGAGACTGATATGGGTCAAAGAGAACATCCTAGCAAAACCGTCTTCATAAAATTACTATGGTAATGGGTTGACATATGTAAAGCACTCAGCAGAGCGTCTAGTATGTGAAGTTGGATGTTCCCATTATCCCTGTGGCCAGGGAGTTAAAACTGGCCAAGTACACTCCAAAGTGAGTGATACTATGTATCCCTTTGTAGCTGGGGTCCTGAATCAGAAGACTGTTTTTGAAACATGCTTAGTCCACAGTCTTTATAAACCCCAGCAATGAGTCTTGGAACAAAACAAGGTATTAATCACAGGAGAACAAGGACCAAAGCATTCTGCAGTGTGTAACAAGGTAGGTGATGGCAGCTGATAAGCCCCAGATCCACTTAGAGAGAGCAGCTCCATGCAGACTTGCAAGATCTGCCTGCTGCTTGAGAATGGAGGGATGGCTCAAGTGTTCAAGCCCAATAGAAGCCTAGGTTTCTAGACATTCTGATTACATTTAGAGCAAAATGGGAAGGTGCATCTTCTTAGACGCTCAGAAGTCTGCCAGATCTTTGGTATCTTCTTTGTGTGCTAGATTGTGAGGAGAGGGGTGATGACAGTCTTCAATGTGTTTCTGCACTTGAGTCTGATCACCTTCATTTTATCCAAACAGTCTTTCCCAAGAGGTGAGACAATCACTGCTCCCTACACTCACCCCATTGAAAAATAAAATTATTGTAGGCTTTTTTTACTATCAGGGGAAGTGGGACTCTTACGTAAATTATGTTGCAGATTAGAAATATGAATGCATTTCTCAACAGAGATAAAGGAAAAACACAGTGCTTTATTCATAAACCTAAAGATGAGGCAAAGTTCAGTCCGTGATTACACTGGAGTAGGGGTAAGACTGTGTGTAGCAGACTGGTCCCAGAGCTCATGCTCCTTGAGTAGATTTGCTGTGTAGCAAGGAAGCATTTTTAAGTTTTTGCAGGGCTCCAGACACTGGGGACAGAATTGAGAAACAGCCTGCAAGAATTCAGGGCCCTCAATCCAATGATGACAAAGAAATAAATTATGTCAAAAAGTAGTTGACATAGAAGCACATTCTTCCACATCAGAACTCCAAATAACAATGAAGCCCAGGGAATAAGTGGACTGTGGCCTCGTGAAACCATAACTATATGAATGAGTGAATGAATGAATGAATGAATGAATGAATGAATGCAGCTAATTCCAGATTTATGACCCCTGGACACTGTGAGAAAAACTGTGAGTCTTGTTTCAAGTCACTAAGATTGTGGCAAATATAGACAATACAATAATATAACCGTATAATACACATAGCACATGGTAAACTCTGAGAAGCAGTGAAGGAGCCTATAGAACTTGGTTGGACTAGGTCACAAGATGCTTAAAGACTATTTAAATTTTCTATCATTAAAAGTTTCTTCTGGGCCAGGTATGGTGGTGCCTGCTTTTAATCTTAGCTCTCAGTAGGCAGAGGTAAGCATATTCCTATGAGTTTGAGGCCAGTTGGTCCACAAAGTGAGTTCCAGGTCAACCAGGGCTACACAGAGAAACCCTGTCTTGAAAAACCAACAACAGCAAAACAGTTTTCTCCTGCCACTGAAGCAGACAGCATGCCAGTAGAACAGCAGGAGGAATTCATAAGCAGATCTAATTGCACAAGGCTTCATAATATTAAAAAATTGTAGCATCTCAAATTATGGTAAGCATAGCCATATTTTTTAAAAGTTAAAATTGGATTCATCATTTATAACAGGATATGTTATACAAGTGTGAAAGTTTTAAGTGTAAAAGTGAAACTGTGTAAGTAAGACAAGAAAAGGATGGGTTTTGACTCTATTTGCAAAACCCTTCCTGACTAAGGCTTCCCCAAATTTAATGCAATAAAAAACATGAGTGATGCACTTAGTTGCACCTAAGACATTTCTATATCAAAACATAATAAGGGGCTAAAAAGCACAGGCTGTTCCTCCAGAGGACCTAGATTCAGTTCTCAGCACTCACTTGGTGACTCACAACCATATGTGACACCAGTCCCAGGAGAGCTGACACCATCATCTGGCCTCCACAGCATCAGGTACACATGTAGTATACAAACAGACACACAGTCAATAAAATAAACACACATAAAAAATAAAAATTAAACATATTTAAATTTAAAAAGACCTACAATAAGGAAAACTCTGCAGTGTGTCTTTTAATTTGCAGCACAGTTCTGTGCTGCTCTCAACCTTGATCAGAGACAATTCTTTTGGCAGTGAGCAGTAATCAGTGCAGAGACACATACCTGGTCACAGTGCTGAGAACAAGAGATTGAATGCTACCAGAAATCCTCCAAGGCTCAGGGAACATCGTAGAAGAC